GGTGGAGTGATTTGTCTGCTGAATGGCGAGAAAGGAGGGGGGTTTATGGGGGGGGAGGGGCGGGGGGGGGGGGTGGGTGGGTTGAGAATATCCCACCTATATTGTATGTCCTGCGTGAGTGTTGGAATAATGTGAGAAGTCGAATTTTGACGATGGGAAATATTCCAAATAACTCCCTATGATTAAACCAGAGTCCGCAAACATTGAATCCAGACCCTATCCCTTTTGATTCCTCAAGATCTAGATTTCTGGCAACATGCAATCAGAGAGATGAAAATACCCTGTGCATCACATCCGGGCACACACCCATAATGCATAACACACACACCTTATTTTTCCGATAATTTTTTTGACCTACCTTACCTACCACATATTTCCTCCCCTTTCCTACTACTCAGAGCGCATCTAGATTCTCCAACCTTAGCAAGGTTGTTTGTCGGAAAGGGAGGGGGGGACCACAGGCCGCCTCCCCTCCCTTGCGCTAACCGAGTTTCTTTTTCAAATGGCCATTGACCATTTACATCGGCGGGAAGAGTGGTGGTGAAGTCGGGAGGGTGGTGTGAATGGACAGGGGGCGTTTCTGGACGGTGAGTGGCTGCAGGGGGGAACCCTTCGCTCGGTGTCATTTTGGTAATGTGACTTCAAGGTGGTGTGCGGGCCTTAATTTGTATGGAACGGGGTAGATTGATAGGATACTGGTTAATATAGACGGCTCTTCGAAGTTGTTTAATCATTTTGTATGATTGTCAGACTGTTGTTGTTGTCTTCACTTGGATTTCATGCTGTGATCCATGCGAGGGGAAAGATGACTAAGCATAAATATGCATCACGTGATGTAGATACCAGCCACTTCCATTTCTGGTTAGGCAGAACTCGACCGTGACGCGATGGAATCAGGAGAATTTCTGGAATGAACCGCGCATCAAGACCAGACAATCCATCTTGTTCAACTCTACCATCGACCTTTGTCCACTCCAAACCTCTTCATTTCTCTGTCTCTCTTTATTCTTCCTTTTTTCACTTAACACTGCCATGCGAACATAAACCTGCTGAATCGCCCTCACCTCAACCTCAACCGGAACACTTCCCTGGCGCATTTGAAGAATCCACGATAAGCCAGCGCATCCTCGATTACCCCTACTCAATCGCGCCTCCGTCTACTGCATTACAGTTCAACCCTCACATCTTTATCCCTCCTCACTTCCGCAACCGTCACAATGGCCGTCGAATACAGCAAAAAGACCAACGCGGAGCTCATTGAGATCCTCAAGTCCCGCTCCCTCCCCTACACAGGCAAAAAGGCAGACATGGTCGCCCGTCTTCAAGAAGCAGACAAGACCGAAGCTAGCAAAGCTACGACTACAGCTGCGCCCGCGAAGACAGGTGCCGTTGAGGATGAAATCGATTGGGAGGATGATGCGCCCGCTCCCGACGCACCCGCGCAAACAACCGCTAGCACCGCTGCTGCGACCGAAATCAAGCAGGTCCCCAACCCCACGGTTGTTGAGAACCAGAAGGTCGATATCGATCCCTCCACCACCCACGACTTGAAGGTTGGAGCTAGCGAGGACACGACTGCCGGTGGGGATGCGGTGGCTGCCCCAGAGGGAGAGAATGGTACTGCCGTAGAGGCCGAGGAAAAGGGTGAAGAGAAACCAGCTGTCGATTATAGTATAGGCCTTGCGCAGACGGATCTGGAAGCCGAACTTGCGAAACGCAAAGCCCGCGCCGAGAAGTTTGGAATAGTGGAGGACACGGCGACTGCGCTGGAGGAAACTAAGAAGGCGTTGGAACGCGCAAAGCGGTTTGGCACAGCTGCGGAAGATGGAACTATAAGTGTAAAGGGTCTCGATCAGCCACTCTCATCGGACCGGCCCAGAAAGCGGGGTCGTGGTGGCGATGATGGAGAAAGTGGTGGCCGTGGAGGAAAGAGACGGGATTTTAGAGGACGGGGTAGAGGTCGCCAGGGAGGAAGAGGCGGACGCAGAGGACCTGCGCCTGCCCCCCGGCAAGAAAACGGCTGGAGTGAGGGGGATCGTGCCGCTTTGGAGAAGAGGAAGAACCGGTTTGGTTAGGAGGGTTCAGTGCAAGTGGCTAAAATATTCGCTCTGTCCTATATTCTCGATATTTCGTTTTCTGTCACTCAGGACTTTTCTCGATTTGAGCTAGGCATTTGCCCTTCTTTTTTTCCCCGTTGGTCTGTCTGTCTGTACTATGGAGTTTTCTGGCTTGGGCTTTTATTCCCTTGTTTTACCATTTGTTTTATTTTGCTGACTATCATCTTCTGATTTAATTGAATTTTTTTTTTCTTCCTTGTCATATTTATTATCGTTTTCGCTCCTTGCGTCTTTTCCGCGGTGGGCCCTCATCGGATAAAACCGCACGCAAAGCCAGCTTCATAGGTTGGAGGGAACAGGCTGAAAAGAAACGTCATTTAAAATGTATCATAGGAAGTATATGGGCAATTTGCTCTATGATAGGGAGCCAATTTGTATAACTATTGGGACGTAGCTAGGTATGATGGACGGTGCTGTTGGATACGATAGGCCAGAGAGCATCCAGAGTGGCAGATGACATCCATTACAATGAATGGATCTAATCAAACGCCTCTCTCTTATGCAATTAAATCTCCGATCAGCTGATATATTGCACTTGAATCCGTTCAAAGTCACGAATGCCAACCATGACGTTTTTTTGAGGTTCATCTCCAGCAATTTAACAAGGCGCACTTCTTAGTTCGCCTAACTAACTAGCTATCCGTTGATCAACATAGTTCCCGCAGATGTCGATGACGATACACAGACCCAAGCAAAAGTATCCCGCTGCTCGTTTTAGTAAATGCATGTCAATGTAGTGTACGCATGACATCGGAGGTACCGAAAAAAGAGACCCATCTGCAAGCGACAATGCTGGGTGAGTAAGTACCTTGGCAGGTGACTCGACGGGTTCAATGGATGCAGCTTCACATAGTGTCGGAAGCAACTTGGAAACAAGAAGAAATCTCTCTGTCCCTGCACAGCTGAAAAGTACATATTATCCCGGAGCAGATTGGCGGATGTACCCGCAGGGATACATCTATGCAACACCAAATAGAATTCCCGTGGGTGACCCGTTGGGCATCGCTTTAACCAGAACTCAGGCGCCTTATAGGCCTCTTGGAAGGAAAATGGCCACCGCGGAAAATTTTTCGATCACTAAATGCCCGCTTAGCTCAGTTGGTTAGAGCGTGTGGCTTTTAATAAAAATTAGGGCGTTGTTCCGAGTTTTCATTGAATACCTCAAAGTCCAGAGTTCGAGCCTCTGAGCGGGCGATGTGATCTTTTTGCTCAATGATTTTTTGACTTTGGTTTTTGCTGGGGTATTTGGTATGCCGTGGCCAAGCGTATCAGGTCATAATATCGTTCGAAACCGTGAAATTATTGGTATACGGGGCGCATGTATCATTTTTCCTTTTATCGAAGTAGAAGCGGACCTTGAAAGGCATTTTGATATTGCAAATCCTTGGCGCAAGTGTGGGTGTGATGAGTCAGCTAGTCAAAAAAAACTGGCCTTTTGAGTTGTCAAAAAGGCGTGGTCTGTCAGACAACTGCCCGCCTAGCTCAGTTGGCTAGAGCGTTCGGCTTTTAACAACAAGAGTGTTACCGAAATGTCCAGAGTTCGAGCCTCTGGGTGGGCGTTTTCTTTTTTTTTCCATTTTTCTTTTTTTTGTTCCTTCCTCCGGATTTTTTTATTTTGGAACATTGCTGTAAATAAAATATCTCGCAGTTCTTCCTCTATTTTGAAGTCCTGTTTTTGGAACGCAACCAGCGAGCCCTCAGGGTTGCGTCTCCTAGATAGCTGTGCGGTTTGTATACTCGAGCAGTCTGGAAGATATTGGACAACTAACATCTCGGTAGCAATGATGTAATAGGAGGTTGTGTTTGGCTGCTTCATCCCGTGCATCGTACGTTTCATAGCTACGTGATATGCTGATAGTCAGAAGCTCAAAAAGTGCGACGAATCGGACGAGCTGTGCGTGACATTGGATCTCAGGGGATCTCCGGCAGTGGAAGCGAATATTCTCATCTGACTTTGGTCTGATTCTGGGGATTTAGATAAAATAGGGATAATGATTTGAATGGAGACAAAGCTACTCCGTGGATAAAACCTGAGCTAGGAGAAGTAAACTGAATATCGCCTTGTATGGAATCGCTTATTATCGTCTCCCTGTCAGGGAATGACGCTTGTCCGTTCAAGCTCTCTCCTGACAGATAAGAAACTGGGGAATCAAAATTGAGTAAGCTCCTTCGTCTGCGGGATCATTCATCACGGGGATTGCTTAACTCAATCTCAAGAGCCAATATCCCCCCCAATGAGATTCTGAGCTGATCTGCTGAAGGATGCATAAAGGTATGACTCGGGCGGCACCCTGGCTTGCTGAAAATTTAATAATTCTCCTAGCTCTGAATATGCTACGCCATTGGATAATGCGGGCAGCGTGATGTTTTTGCTATTCCTAGAGAACAAGACAGGGTGAGAACCCCCACATAAAATCTCCTAACGAGTATGCATAGTGAGTGGGTAAGGTAGGCCCGTTTTCAGCTGCGTTGATGTCTATTGTGCAGAGGATTAATGCAGGCTTATTTTTAGGAACCTGGCCATTGGAACTTGCAAGGCGTTCTCCTCTTGCCTTTTACCCGCAGAGGCGATAGCGGCTCTACTTGTACTCTGCCAGGGGGCGGGAAATATCTAGAGACTCGCCGCCATTTGCCTTCTCTCCTTCGTTTCTTTGGTTGTTATTCTGGGGAAAACATACACCTCGTCCGCCATCCCAAAATAAACCAGAGACTCTTGGATGGAAATGGAGAGGAGTCGAAAGACTCCAGACTAAAAAGCCCGTCAAATTCCTAGCGCCTTCTCTTCAACGAAACAGAGCCCGAGCAAGGCAAGATTTCGTCTGCAAGTATGGCGACTCTCCACCCCATTGTGCCAAGCTGTGCGGGACGAGATATATCGAAGGCATAACCAAGATCCTTGCGATTTTGCAAAGCCAGGGACGACAGTTGCATGCTTGCGCCACGCTAACTCTTAGGTTGGACAACCCTGCCTGCGAATCATCGAACCGTTTGGCTGATTCGTGATGTGACTGGTCCTGAGCACACGAATAAGAATCCTCGCCATCTGCGATGTGCATTCCAGGTTTATGCGAATGCTTGACAGGCGCAAAACCCGCGGAAACCTCGCATGGAAGAGTTTTTTTTGCTTCGCACAGACCTGAAAAGGATTCGTCAAAATACCCACTATCTTGACAGAATTTGGTGCTTTGAGTTCTAGATGTGTATAGAGCCTTGGGATTATCCCGTGGAGATGGCTGCACTGGCTTTGCTTTTTGAATGCGACGATTAAGATGACGAGTCAGATTTTATCTCTTATCGATATCAAATTGGAGGGGTAACTTGTTCCCAGTTTCGCGGGGGCCATCTGAAGAGTGAAACTTGGGTATGTAACTAGAGACTTCATCACCTCAAAGCTCTTGTCGAAATTAAACGGATCGCCGAAGACGACGAGTGGTTGCTGGCGGCACGGCACGTTTAGTAGTCCGTCTGTCAGGACGATCTCACGGACTTCTCCTACTGTATGCTGCAAGCCGATAGGCAGCGCAGAGCAGAGGATCTGATCGTGCGTGCATGCTCCGGGGCAGGGCAGAGTGGAGTAACAACGCCAGAGCCTATGGAGGGGCATATCGGGGACTTTGTATCTTGGACCTGTGACTTCGAGTGTGTTGCATGAATGGTGGAAGTCCACAGCACCCAGTGTCATCGGCGTGGAAATCGTAGAGATATCGTAAACTTCTTGAGCTTGGATTATTGCGATGGGCTGGATTATGTCCAGCGTCGTCCTGTTGTTTCCACGCGTGACCCCAAAGCCCTAAAGAAGATTCGACGTCCTCGACTTTAAACGAGAAACACTGCAAAAACAGATCCTAATGCCAAACAACCCAACCTCGTCCACTGACTGGCTGAGGTGGAATCTGCCCCATCCAAATCTCCAACGGTGTTTCTGGACCTTTCTTGCAATATGATTGAGTGCTCGAATTGGTCTTGTCGCGTCTCGAGGAGGGGGATCCATGCTGTTAACCAACGCCTCTATCTTGTTCGCAGGCCACAGACCCCAACGTTCCCCAGCATGTCCACTGGTGTCCACTGTATAGCACCACCGTGAACATATCAGAATGCGGGAAACCCGGCGTCCAGCTTCCTTACCACCTGCAGCGTCTCGTCCTTGCAGGTATTGGGCCTGCTTGACTCCTGCGCAGTGGACCCCATCCCCTCCAAGAGTCGCCACCGCTGGTATCCCAAGGCCAGGAAGGTCGAGTCTTAGCGGGCATGCCCCTTGTCGCCGTGCTCCGTACCGCACCGCTATCCGTAACTCTACTTCCCACTCGTCGCAGGAACTAGAGATTCCACTAACCAAAGCCTCCCCCAGTCACTCCCGCTCCCTCAGCGTGAGGGCCCATGGTTGATTGCTCACAGGCGCCAGACTCCTTGACCCCTGTCCAGTCCTTGTCCGAGAAGCTAGGGCACAATGTCCCCCTCTCTGGGCCTTAAAAGAGAAGCGCGATGGCACTTTTGTGCTCAATTTTCTACATCATTTTCGTCTTTTCGCCCCCTTCTCCGGCGCCAAGATTAAGTCACATTTTGCCCTATGTTCCAACGCCTAGATCATTCCTACCTGCCATCAGAAACTCGCCCTGCATAATGATGGCATTCCTTGCCTAATCATTGACGTGGCCGTCCTCGAGTATTTTAGGCCCCTGCCACGTCGGTTTAGCCACAGCTTGCCTGCTCGTGCGCCCAGACGGCCCCGCCGTGTGTGGCGGAGTTGCATGCATGCAGAATCAGCATTGTGCCTTTGACAACCAGCATCCTCATAGTTTGTGCCGCAGATATACTTGACTCCTGTTAAAAGATTTTTCTCTTAAAAGCAGGATTTGTACTATTCTTTTAATTGACGCCATTATTTCATTTCTCTTTTGTTATTTCTCTCCAAGAGGTTAGGCAGCCTTGTTCAATTTATTCCTGTATAGTTACCGCGATTGTATTCCACTGGGCAGGACTTTTGTTTTATCTGTGAGTTTTTGTTATAGCGCAAACCGAAAGGGAGCCGGAAGGATTGTGCCTGATTGTAAGTTACTGCTATATATTGTGGCAACTTTACCCTTTGAAGAGCTTTCAAGACCCAATTCTAATGTGTGATAGGTATGATATGAGCCTCGTCTCCATGCCTTTCCTCGGCTTTTGGTCGTAACGATTATGCGGTCTATTGCCCTTAGGAATTCCTGGAAAGCTGATCCTCCGGTCAAGGACGGAAGATTTGAGCTTAGGTCACACCATGTCGTCTCACAGATTTGATCGTGGGCGAAGGTTAAGACAGGAGGAAGTGGCGGAATCATCTCACAGTGTCTATTCGTCCCGGATACCGGCTGTTCCAAGTGCGGCTCATACAAATTCAACCACAGGAAGATCGCAAATGCCGAGACCATCCGCTTCTTCTAGAAGTAGGCGAGGGTCCTCAGTGTCGGAAGGAGAGGATGACCAATACCGAGGTAGAATCCCAATGCCCCAATACTCGAGAGCTCCTTCAAAAGAAAGTCGCCAACCCTCCGGACTTCCACAACCTTCAGCAATTGTACCGACACAGACGGGCAGCCTGATACCATCATCCAACAAAATAGGTCTCCCCGCCCATCAGCAAATTAGGACAGCACCCTTAGCACCTAATGGACTCGGAAAATCCGAGCCTGTCGGGGTAAAGTCGCGGAATGTTTTGCGGAGAAAGGCTCCCTCGATAGAACAGTATGCGGAGCGTACTAGGGCACGGAACAACACCCCCATGTTTGGACGTTTTGGTTCGAGTACGTCTCTATTAAAGGAAGAAGTGGAGGGGGGTTTGAAGTCAGGCCCGCCAGGGATTACCGTGATGGATGATGATGTTCAAAATCAACGCCTACAAATTGCCCCTGCATCAGCTCCCCTACCATCGACAACGAAAATGCGCGCCAAAGGAGACCAAACTCAAGTCCCACGTATCCCAAAAGAACTAGCCGGACTCGTGAATCCTGTGAACACCATGAATCTTCCTCCTCCCACACCGAATTTTACTGCATCTACGAGTAGTCCATCGACTAGATATTCAGAATCGCCAGGCCCATGGAGTAGCAGAACGTCTACTCCAACATCTATGTCTTCATACTCTCCTGGGATTATCCAACCGACGAAGATCGCATCACGATTACGACAACCAAGCCCGGCAATTTCTAGGAGCCCCTTAC